AGTTATAGAAATAACTAATTCTTATTGACGGTTCTGGCGTAGGATATGTCTGCCCGCGTGTGTTGCGCTGTGCTGTGTTAGAAGCCTGACATTGATCGTGGTCTACGATATAATGTTGTTCAGCCCAACCCAAGGTTTCCGACAGAATTTTTCATGTTCGATTTGTGTATTATATGAAGTTAAGATGCGAAATAAAAATAAACGTTTTAGATTGTGTTCTAGGCTTCGACGCACTGCGATCTTGCAGGTGTTAGCTAACGCTTCCGAGGAACATACCTCCTCCATCTTCAGGATTGTAAATGTAGGAAATGTGCACCTGACCGAAGAAATCGCAGGTGTCACAGTCCTGCCAATACTAGGTTACGTAATCAAATAATTATTTCGTCTCTGTGTCCTATCCTACTCACGTATATGCTTCGTTTTTTTATGACCAAAAATTTGCTAGACAACTTTGCTCAAAATCTTCAATGTAAGAACACCTGGTTCCAATTCTCATTCAACAGATATTTCATACAGCACAACTCTTCTCGAGAAGCTAATAATCGCTCAGCCAATTAAAAATTCACTACCTTCTATGAAACCCGCAGAATCATTGTCTGTCATGCTACAGTCCCCATCCATCTTACATATCTCTGATTTGTTCACGAACCTGCAGAATCATTGTCTGTCATGCTACATTGCCCACCCATCTTACATATCTCTGATTTGTTCACATAGTAATACACACTGGACAGTACATATTATGAATGTACTTGCCATGTAATTTTCTCTATCCTCATTTTACAGCCTTAACTTACGAGTAATTAATACAATTATTATTGACCAAAACTACGCATAACGACACATAAGCCATTTTTGCTCGAAATCTACGTGGTTCATAAAAAGTAAACTGAATTTCCATTTCATGACCGGCTGTAGTGGCATCCCGTTTCGTTACACAGTGTAATAAAACAGACCCCCTCCAACATTTCCCTGGGCCCTTGTATCAAAGCACCACCTCCTGTCCCCTAACCCCCAGTTCTTTTAATAACCAGTGTCCCGCTTTAGCCTGCCTGTGATGATAATGGTGGTGGTGAAAATCATCACTAGGCTGACAAAAGCGTTGATGTTAGGGATTGCTCTGTACTAAAACACTTCAAAATATTTGTGTGGATATTTATGAAAAATAATAAATCTTCACCCCGTCTCTATGTACTCAAACATTTTGCAAAGCAAATAAAAAAAACGCCCACTGCATTGTGCAGTCTGAAATACTTACAGAAGATACATTTTGATAAGAGTTTTTAACTGAGGAAAATAGGTGTTTCGTCGATGTAACGCGGGTATAATCGTGGCCTACACAAATTTCTGAAAGCATGTTTCAGTATCAGTAACATACACGACTATGTACCGACCTTCTTTTGTTTCATATTCCGAGCGATCAGAAGACATCCGAAAAAGGAATAAGAAGTAATCATAATCCACTGACAACTAACTCTTCCGCTTTAAATGTTTTCTCAACTGTTAGCTATTTCTGTGATTCTTTTATTCTAAAGAAACAACGTTCTATCTTCTGCTTGTGTAACAATTCTACAGAACAACCAAAAAGTATGTGAATTGTGACGAAAAACAAAGAGTTGTTATAAACGCTATCGTAAAAGATATAATTGGAATAAATCCGCCATATTCATAGACAAATCGCATCTTTCTTAAAAGGGCAGGTCATCGGAACAGTTATCGATAGCCCACCGTAAATACACACGGATTATCCAACTCCAAGACACGGTATCTTTGTTGATAAATGAACAGTTACTTAACTGTTTAAGAAATGTCTCCACCCGAAGGTTCATAAAACCTCAGCACTGACCCTATATTAGAACAGTTGAATCAGATCCACAATTTCAGGTACTACATTTTTAGATCCATACTTACATATTTCGTCCTCTAAACCTAGGACACACAAATCACGAAGTTCGTCAATATGTAATTTACACAGTTCTTTGTGGCTTCATCCCTCTTAGTCAAAATTATCTTCACCAGGACATTGTTCTCACAAACCATTTAATATTATTTCCTTAGTGTGGTGGGAAAACTTTCAAAATATACAAAATCACAGATGCAAATTTAACTAGTATACGTTTTATGTAATTTCAATTTTTAGAAAGTTTTCAAGGATCACGGACCATAAAATAGACAAAACATGATGTTCTTTCTTGTTGGGAAATACATCTACTCTCTCGCTTAGTGGTAATGCTGCCTTTACATCTCTAAAGCAGGGACAATTACATTTATGTGCTTCTATCCCATTTCACCCCAAAATTCATGATGTGGTAACACTGCTGATTGTCACCGTGACGCCATTCCATCACAGAGTACGTGAACACAAAGCCGCAAAACGAGAATTTGATAGAGAATATTATTACAGGTATATCACGGTTTCG